GCTCACTTTAATGTTGCGCGGAACCCGGGCGCCCGGGGGCGCCTCGCTCCCCGCCCCCTCCCCATCCCATCGGGGTTCTCGGCCTGGGAGACCCCCGCCCCGACCACCCGGCTTTATGTGGTGGCCCCGTCACCACTGCTGCCCCCAGCACGTCACAAATCCGGGGAGAGGCCGGCCAACTAGGGCTTGCTCCCAGCTCCTGGAGGCTCCCTGGAGGTCGATCAGCCACCTCCGGGGCTGGCCTTGCAGGGACGCACCGCCCTTCGCGTCACGCAGGAGAAACCCGAGGGTTCCGACGCGCTCCACTCTGGACAGAGACGCGATTCCCCGATCCCGCGTCGTCTTTTCTTCTGTATCCGCGTTCCTCTTTCTAACTTGACTCCTTCCACCCACTCGCAACCGCCTGCCTGGCCTCTGCGGAATCTGTTGCGCTGGATTTCTTAAAGGTTTTAAACTGTCTCTCCAACTTGGTATTTATTCATTAATTCTGATGTCTGAAGACTGCGCTCAAAGCTATACCGAGCTCTTGGCGGCGGTCAGCCGGGCGCTGTGGGGCACAATGAAATTCAAAGGTTTACAAAGCAGCTTGGAGGGAGGAGGTGGACACTTTCCTGAAGACAGACTGCGGGGGAGGGGGGGGGGCTGCGCCTTACAGTCCAGTGTGGGCATTGAGGCCGTCACACAGAAATCAAAGCGGGACCTAACCCCCAACCAAACCAAACCAAATACACCCTGCATCTAAGTGACTTACTGTATGGCACAGACAAAGACTTCAGACAGACAGGAAAGCCAGAGCAAGCCTCTAAGTATCTCCTGAATTAGGCCCCCACTGCTTGCCCTTGTGACTTTGGGAGTGAGCCTAACCTTTCACAGTGCGGCGAGACACAGCTTTGTGCTGTATGTGTGTGGACAACATGGGAGGGTTCTTATTTCAAGCAGGCACCTGCTAGTTAGTCCCACGGGGCCCTTTCTTGTGGAGTCACAGGGTTATCTGTTGAAGGCAGTCTTCTCAGCCTGCTCCCTCCTCCCCCGGCCCTCAACTCTGCATGGATATCCTTCTCTCCATGTTCGATATATAGTTTCACTCCTTGCTTGGCTAAGAGGATGGATTTCCTGACCTTCGCTGCTGCTTTGAGCTCCAGAGGTCTGTTTGAACTCCCAGACGGAGTTGACAGATAGGTGAAGTTATACCGGGACAGCTGTGGTAGCTGAAATTCAGAGACAAGTTACTCAAGCTACACAACCTCCTTGCTGGCCTGTGGTTACCTTTGGCTGCCCCTGCTGGTCGCCATAACTGGATTTCACTTGGAGAGAGCTGTGCTTGTCCTTTGGGTCAGGGAGTCTTGAGAAAAGACTCCCTGTGATTTTTCTGTCCCAAGTCCAGCATTCCCAGGAGTCTGTCCAGCACAACAGAATTGATAAAGGGAGGGCAATCCTGAGGAAAAAGGAAATCTCCCCTTCTCCCTCTTAACCAGCCCCCTCCCCCATACAGGTTGTAAGACATTAGGGAACAAATGGGGGGGGCGCTGTTTGCTGTTTCCTCCTTTGACCCATACACCAATACTTATGTGGGCATACGGTGTGGGGGTGAGGAACAGTATCACAGCTCAAACTTCCAATGAACTGACCCCTTCACTGTTCTTTTCCAGTACAGACAAGACCCCGGCGCAATAGTGACCAACATTATTCAGGGGAGTAAGAGACGGTAGGAATAAGAACAAAGAACAACCATGACTATAGTCATGATATCTGCCAAAATAAAAGGCATAGAAGACAATTTTTATTTTTTACTAAATTGAAGTCTTTCATATACGAGTTTAAGAGAAATTTGGATAAAGACTGCTGTTATTTGCCACCCTGAACATGCTATCAAAATGACTTGATAAGGTGAAGCTGAGTTTACTCTTCCCAGAATGAGGGAAAACAGTGCCGAGACAGTTTAAGTTTTTTTCTAGTAATAGATTCACTGTTGTGCACAGGAACAAATTATTAGGACAGTAGGGTAAGAAAAGATAAAGCTTTGTTGAAAGTCATCTGCAAAGGCAAGCGGAAAAGCTCAAATTTGCCTCCCTAAGGCTAGGGCTTTGGGCAATGTTTAAGGGCAATATTAAGGAGTTGGGGAACAAAGTATAAAAACTGTAGTTGGAAGAGTATGATTGGTTGCTTTTCCCTGAATTATGGCATAACTCAAATTTGGGTTCAGAATTACAGCAAAACTGAGCACTACTTACTTCTAAGTGATGTCTGTGTAACCATGAGCTGCATTGTAATTATGTTTTCTCAAGGCTATTTTCTGGTCTGGGGAGTGAGAAGTGAAATGTTCGGCTGGACCTGTGCTCTGAAACACAACTGGCTAACTTCTGAAAAATCTGGGGTTTTTTTCCTTTTAAAATAGATATGGATATTTTTGTTCCATTGTTTAACTCTCACAAACCAGCTCTGCTGGTCTTGCAAAATAAACAAACAGAAAAGGACTACCATGGTTTCATGAGGAGCTTCTCAGAGAAAAGTAATGAAATTCATGAGTGGTAATCAACCTCCTGACAAGTGGGTAATTTTAGGGAGCTAATACTGTAAAGTGAATAGCATGAGGTGCCATCTTTTTAAAGGAAACCCTAAAAACCAGACTGCATAAGGTTCAAGGGTTAGCTGTTGCCCCCAGAAAGTTGGGGAGGATTTTTACCACTGGTTTACCAGAAAGGCTGTCGTAAGCTATTGGTGTTGATTCTCACGAAGTTAGGGGCTTGTTGAGCTCTCTCGTATCTATGTTGAATTCACAAAATGTCTGTTCATGTACCCAGGGAAAATAATTGGTTACCAAGACTTGGGGAAGTCAAAAAATGGTATGGAAATTTCAGAGGAGTTAGGGATATTGCCTGCAGTGGCCAGTGAAACCCAGGAATCCTAATAATTGTCTTAGTTATTAACTATGAACCCTTTGTACAGTTGATTGTCTGGAGTAAGGGATTTCCCTCTGTGGGATAAATCTCCTAGGCAATGCACTAGCTTTGACAAATTATTAACTTCTATATGAAAAACTCTTTATCTTTTGTAAGCTAAAAGAGTAAGGAGATAGATGAATTCATCTTAGAACTCAGCTCCTCTTTGGAACAAAACAAAAGTCATTCACATGCTGGATAAGAATAGATTCACAGGGCAATTTAAGCCTCTGGAGATCCTGATCAAGGACTTGGGATCTAAGGAAATTGATACAGAGCTGTCCAGCTATAGTATTGATTTTCCATGGAGAAGACAAATGAACACTGATTATATTAATTTTAAGAAACCTCAAAGAAAGTACAACATAGAGCTACAAAGTCTCCTTAGGCCCTGAAGATAAAATAGTACGACTTGGGTTCTAAAGGGAAACAGATCATGAATGCCTTTTTTTATGGCTCTAGGGTCCTAGATGAATTTAATACTCTTTCCCACTGGGTTTTTTGACTGGGAAGATGAGTGTGACAAGGACTGGGCCAAATTATAAAGACTCCTTTCTATTTAAGACCTTGGATTACTAGTTTTACTCCTTCTATAGCACCTTGTTTTAGAAGCCTTTGTGTGGGCTACTGGGGAGAGGTTCTCGGAGTCAGGCTGAACACTGCTGGGTTTAGCTCCAGCAGATTATTAGTAAAGTTATTTGCCGACCAGATAGCTTCAATCTATGCTTGCCTCCTACATTAAAGTATTGGTGTAGCAATATCTAAATTAGCCAGCACTTCATTATGACGGTCTCTGAGGACTGGTCTCCTGAAGAGGCCATCAGAGAGCACACAATGTGGCAGTTTCATATACATAGTAAATCCCTTGCTATTCAGTTAATGAGTTTACACTGTCACAAAGGAGAGAACATTCCTTGGCTAAAGGTTTAAGACTGACAGTAGGACAGGTGAAGACGGTGAGATACCAATAGATACATGACCACAGCAGCTTGCTGACGCTGAGAAAGAGGGTGTATAATAGTATTAAGTCTTAAGTTACTGTATTTACATCAACCAAAAAATTGTCAGTTTGTCCTTTAATTTTTAGAAATATTTTTTCTTGTGGGTTTAAAGGTAGAAAGGGAAATTGAACAGCTCTGCTGATCATTTTTTCCTCCTTCAGTTTCTTAATTCTAGAACTCTTTCAAAATTCAACATAGTTGGTTTGGGATGCCTCATTAAGGGGCTAGTTCTCATCCCACTTTGGCTTGCTTATTAAATCCTCTATTTCTGACGTAAGGCCATTCACAAAAAAAAAAA